AGGTTAATGATGGTAAAAGGAAGTGAGTCTGGATCATGTAAAAATGATTTGGTATACATTAAATGCTGGCAGAAAGTCTGGTTTGATAGATCCTACTGCACTGTGCATCTGCAAGCAATTAAATGGTGGGGAAAAAAAAAACAAAATTGTTATCTTCTATGTGTATTTCTGGTTCCTATTCTCTTGTACACATTTTTATGATACTGCTGTGGTGTCATTATATCTGATACACCGATACTTGGTCTACGTTTGATAGTACATGTTCCAAAAGAAATGCATAAATAAATGCTGAGTTTTACCTTCTGCTCTTAACAATGGTGACAGATTATGTCGGCGAATCTGCTAAATAGTGGATTTTTTGAAATTTCAGTTGAATTTGGCTGCACCTTTTGGAATAATAGTAGAATGCATTCTACGATTATTCCAAAAGAAATGCATAAATAAAGGATGAGTTTTACCTTCTGCTCTCTACAATGGTGACCAATTATGTCGGCAAATCTGCTAAATAGTGGATTTTTTGAAATTTCAGTTGAATTTGACTGCACCTTTTGGAATAATCATAGAATGCATTCTTTGCAGATTTGATGATTTGATGTCTATCCTGTTCCTCTCCCTCTTGCTCCCTCTCATGCTTGTGTAATGTAATTGTGATTTATACCTTTTAAAATTGTAATCTTATACTGATTCTAGTCTCCTTGCAATCTTAAACTCATCCTGATATTTTCTCCACTTTGTTTAGGAGTTTATATCTTCAATTATATTTTCATGGCTGGCCTCTCATGCTTGTGTAATGTAATGGTGATTTATACCTTTTAAAATTGTAATCTTATTCTGATTCTAGTCTCCTTGCAATCTTAAACTCATCCAACTAATTTCTGCTCTTTGTTTAGGAGTTGATATCTTCAATTATACTTTCATCTTTGTGTTGCTACTGCTGTTTATGATTTGGCACATTGGATGTGTTCTTCTGCAAGTTCCTAAGAACCCTAATATCTGCCTCAGTTTTAATTGAAGTTTACCTGCCAAGGTATCTCCAGTTGAAATTCGAGTTCTTGCTCTCAAACATTGTGATAAAAATCTTTCTTCTATTAACTTCCATCAGCTGATGTGAATCTTTTTTATGGTTCATAAAAAAAAAATTGGGTGATATCTTTCTGGTTCTTTATATTATTGTCATTACTGCAGCTTGCTCAACCTTAAATGCTACCTGTTCTTACAGTGTTCATTCTTCTGAAGCTGCTCCAGCTTTAAGTTAAACATAAATCTTAGTTGATTAATCTTCCTGGTGTCTAAAAGTTTTGATAATTAATTTCTGTGAACAAGTGATTGGTTATTCTGCTTATGCACAAAAAACATCCTGCAACAAACATGAGCCAGGCACAGTGCAATGCTCAACCAAGAAAACTTTTGTTTCTTACCATCAGTGGCCTGACAAGACAAAACCCCACCTCTCATTGAACACCAAGAATGCCAGTGTTGGTTTCAGAGATGGTTGAAAGCAGTAGAGAGGAGAGGGAAAAGTTTGCTTCTACCTTCACTCTCCTCCACACATTCTTCCTCCTATGCCTTTATTTATAGTCATGTATACCTTTTCATTTCATTTGTGGTGGAACTTCTTCATGATCAATGTTTTGGGTCACTGAGGTCATGAAGATCATGGTACTATAGTTTTTGGTGGTTTGACTGCAAGGGCAAAAAGGTCATTCCAGAGCACACAGCAAAGCTGGCATGGTCTTTATATTCTGGTGATAGGATGAGTTTAGGAACAAGATTTCCTATGTAGATAGCATCAATTCTAATCCTTCAAACATATTACTTTGGCAATAGTTTCACTTCCAGGTTGCATATTTCCACTGAGTTGTTTGACCAAAATTTCTTTTTTTTTTTGTTTGGTGGAAGATGTCATTCTAAAACTTTATCCCTTCTCTTTATCTCATCTCTATCTGGTGCTCAAGAAGTTTTTTTTTTTATTATTATGGTGAAAATGGAATTCAATCTCAAAATTTTGTTTATCAATGGTCAAAATTTTTACTACCCCAAACTAAGTCCTATTTAACATCATTATTTTTATTTAAATATTTTAAATCTTTAATCTTTGATAAGTAAATCTAATACATCATATTGCAACTTAATATACATTGGATTCTTTTTCTAACAACTTAAGTTTTTTTGTTGGATTGATGGTAATCCAATTAGAATCTTTCTTGCTATTAGTGGTGATAAGCATCAGAATCAGAAAATACAATGACAAAAATCATTTTGTTTAACCTTTTTTTTTCTTTTCATATTGTTGATTTTGATTTAGGTTAAAGTATGCACATAACGAGCATATTCTGAATGTGAATGATAGACCCAATTTTTTTTTTCTTGATTAAAAAAATTCCACCTCTATTTGAAACTTCTATGCTTGTGAGAAATCCAATGGACTCTTTTAATAATCCATTCCAACAGTTCATTCTAAGAATTTAGAACAAAAGACTGTTCTTTCTAAGATTAATTATATATATATATATAGTTTAGTTTAATCCCTCTTATCATTAGGGAAAAAGGAGGAAAACTTGAGCCACAATAATTTCAAATGCTCAGATAGGTCTCCTAAACTCAACAACAGTCCTTCCGGGCTCTGAACTCAAGCCTTACTTTTAGCTCAGGAAGAAAACAAGAACAGGAGAAAAAGAAGGGCCACAGATAACACTTGTGGAGGATAGCATCCTACTTGCAGAAGGCTGAGCCCTGCCCTCCCTTCCTCTTCTCTTGCCAGTGGAAACAATTCCAATCCATTGCACACCTCACAGCCAATTCAAATACTCTTTATTTCACACTTGTGAAACTACTGGAGCTCCCTGTCATCTGGCCTTCTTCACCATGGCCTGTCAGTCCATCAACATTCACAGCGCCTTGACAAGGCAGGTGATGGATGCAAGCTTTTCCATCTTCTCAAGGGCTTCAATGGTTGGCTATCGTCGACAAGAGCCAGGAAGAATCATGCTCACCCATGGCACCGTTGTGTGCTCAGCCATACAAGAGTCCTCCACTGCTGCAGGTACTTGTGATTTAGCTGCTTCAATTGATTTCTGTTTCATGGAGGTAAGAGGTAGTAGTGATTGCAGTGAACACGCCTGTGCTCATATGTATGATCGATAACTACAGCTCTTGGGGAGAAGTTTGATTTGTTGTTTAGGCCAACAGCTGAGTTGCTGTGATTTGTTTGTAATAGTTACTGATGTGAAGAAACAAGAGGTGGCGACCAAGGCAGAAGCACCAGCAGCAGCAAATGATGCTCCTGGGAAGCCCAAGAAACCCCCCGTGAGGCCATTGCCGGAGATGATGGAAGAGGAGGTGATTCCTTCGCTGAAGGAGTGTCTTGAGGCCCAAGAAGATGTCTCGGAGATTGAAATCTCCTTTCAGGATAACAGGGTCAGTGATTCTCCGAACCATTCCACAATATTTTAATTGGATCACAGGCCTAATTTTCTTAGTGCTAATGTGGACTAAAGAAGCAAAACTAAATTGTTCTTCTCATATTTGATGTGAGACCCATAGATAAGAAATGGTTTCCACAAACACCTCATCTAAATCAAGACAATGGATCATCTTTTTTTGCATCTCCCTTTCCCTGTATCATCAAAGAAGAAGCTTTCAGTGCACATAGCGTTAAATTCGGTGTTAAACGAACATCCTGCTTAAATTCTTGCTAAGAGTGATTTCTATTGTGGCCAATGAAAATTAACAGCTTGAAGGATCCTTCCTAAAGAAAGGCATTCCTTACTCCTTTTGGGCCTTCTTCCCCAACGGAGTCTTGACAGGTACCACCTCTCTCTCTCTCTCTCTCTCTCTCGGTGTCATGTCCTCCTCCATTGTGGCAACCCAAGAACTCACTGGCTTTCTCCCCCGCCTGCTGCAGGTCCTAAAGGGTTCTCCTTGTCGTCGTATGGCTCAGGAGTTAGCACGGTTGAACCCTTTCTCATCGATGAAAAGAGAATTAATGCCAAACTAGTAGTTTTCTGGGTGAAGAAGAGATTGGCAGCTCAAGGCATCCTCCCTGTTTGGACTGAGTAGATTGTTACTGGTATCGATCACAGTGGTAGTCACTGCATCAGCTGACTGCATCACCACCAATATTGTAAAGCTCATTCTTACCTTCACCGAGACTATGTTACTGGTATTTCAACAAAAGTTATTTGCTTTTTATCATGTGAATTCTTCTGCATCTCTTCCACGAAGGGTGTTTGCCTAAGCACTCGATATGCTTATAGCCTCGCTTGCAATTACTCGTCATGCAATGAGTTTGACTTCATTAATTTCTTCGATCGCAGTTGTACAAAATTCAAGATCAAGTATGTTAGGAAGATATACTCGAACAACTTCACAAACTAACTTTTTGTAGCTATGATGGTAAGCAAATGCACACTCTGCATGCTGACCACATCAAGAAATGATATTATTGGACACCACCATCCGAGATGAACATTTCTTGGTGGTTTCTCCGCATCGATTTGTCTCTCCCACGAAGGAACTTCCTTCAGACTCTGCTACTCCAACTAGCCATAGATGGCTCTTAATTTTTTATGTTTGTAAATATAAAAATAATCTTTAATTAAAAATCTTGATAGGAGATGAGCATATATCTTGGACTTGGCAATTCATATTGTTGTCAAGTTCATGTAATTTGCTTTTAACAAGGGAACTGCAATTATATTGAGAGACCTTCGTCTCATGCTGCATTTACAGCAGGCCAGCATCCATCCCTTTTACCTTCCACCTCCTCTGTTGCCTGCTTTATCTTGTGAAGTTACACCGGCCAAAGTAAAAGAGAGTTCCTTTGCAGAGTTTGGTAACAACACATCCACCAGCTAAAGGAATAAAGACATGAAGTGATGCTTCTGAGTTGGAGGTCAGATTCAACATTCTCACTGGTTTACTTGTGAATTCTGAGGTGATCAAACATGTCATACTACTGGCAAAAATGGTTGCATCAATCACAGGATTGGCATCAACACATGGTCCATAAAAATGAACTAACATTGTCAAAACATAAACAAGCAGTGTCCAGGAGACTTATTACCATATCCACAAAACTAAGAACATTATGACCAAATAGTCCAAATACAACTTAAAGAATCCATAACGACGGCACTCTGATGACGAAGATCTGCTTAGAGGGAATACCAACTCACTATTTGTACATATAGACCTGACTGATTATTCCATATACCTCCACACTAACATCAAAACTGTAATCACACAAACAGTGTTTTAACTACATGGATACATATCTGACGAGCACGAATCTAAACAAAACCTTCTCTTCACGGAAGGAAGACATTTGAAGATGACCATGGTTAAAGGCGTGTTCACTGATTCTTCTGTACACCCCCGGACTAGTACCAAAATTGTAATCACACATTGCGTCAAAGTAACATGGCCTTTGCTCCTGACTAGGGCACATATATATGCAAACTCCACAACCCTAATCTTCCCCCTCCAGCAGAAAGACACTGACATAACCATAGTTAGAGCCATGCCTTAGTCAAAGCATGGCTAACACTAACCAGCACATGACTATCAAAGATAAAACAGACACTCATAGCAGGGACAGCTAAATGACAATCTCAGTTTACCCCCTCGTCTTGGCTCTCTTCAAGCCAAGGCTGTTATGGAAAGGGGAGGCGGACCCTGATGTGTGAGAGCCTTCATCACGGAGGGTACCATTAAGCATGGCTAGCTCTCGCAGCTGCTGCTTCTTAAAGAAGTCTACCGACTCATCCTGCATTAGGATGGGGAACAATGTGAAATGACTATAATATAACTGAATCCTCTAGAGGAAAAGTAGGAAAAAGAAACAGTCCTTTTTTCTAGAACATTAACAACATTGAACTCCATGAATGAGAGTCGAGCAGTACCACAGGCTTCAGCATATCTTTCAGTATTTCGCGGGCTTGCAACAAGCGAGCATCAACAATTTCAACTGGCATGTCCGCTTCTACAAGAATGTGAAGGGGCTCATTCAGATGTTCATACCCTGGTTTCCCCCTCATCATCTCCTCCTATACATGATAGACGATGTAGATCCAGTGACTATTATGACAATTGACACAATCATACAAGAGACACATGCATACAATCTAGTTTCATAAACATCACTGAAGCCAGGAATGCACCATAAAATTATAGGAAGCATGAAAAAGAAACTAAATGTCAAGTATCCATCCACACTAGTATGCAAGCAACTTTACTAAATGTCAACTATCCACCCATACGAGTATGGAATCCACCTTATTGTCTTCCTTTTCCTTAAGATGATAATAAAAAGAAATATCGAGAAAAATATAAAGTCTAAATTGGAACCAACATAAATCCAAAAGAACATTTAACTGAAGAACCATTGCTCGCCCGCTTAAATTGGGCATCAGCATACTACAACAGACTCCAAAATCTGAGACCCAATCCGTTCCCAAAACTTTAACAAGTTCCATGGTCTTAAAGAAATTTCTTTACCCTAAATGCTAAAATTTGCTCCAAGTAAATGGTATGCAAATAACTAAAAACACAAACAATTGAAGTATTTGTTAAGAAGATAATAGTGTAATGTGGCAAGAAAAAACATAGCAAAATGTATAATTTAAAGAAGTGAAAATTACATGTAGTATCTTCTAAAGAAGATTCAAGTTCAAAGAATTTATTGAATTGCTGAGCTGAGCTGAATAATATACTGACATGAACCTACACCCAAATTTCAATTAGCCTCAGAAATCATAGACATAATAGTATCCAAGAAATGGTCATTCACACCTCGCTATGACATCATATTTATTTTGAAGTTTTAGCATCCTTAAACACTAACTTCAAAGGTACCTCCTGTGACCATATCTAATCGAACACAATGGCTAAATACTAATGACAGCAAAATGCAGGCAGGTCTGGCCGAGACAAAAGAAGGTTGTTATTCTAGAATAATTCAAGTTATCTTTACTGATAGAGCAGAATGAGAGAAGGAACTTGAGTGCAGAAGCATCTTTAAACTACTAAGAACATTTCATTAACCTAAGCTAAACAAGCTTCTATAGTTCTCTAGATGATGATACTAGTTGGGCAAAACCATGAACTTTTTGAGCTATTATTAAAACATCTAGCTACAACAACAACAAGATCATAAGTCTCAACTATTTGGGGTTGGCTATATGGATCATTTGCTGCAATCAGTTAAGATCCATGTTCATGAAATCTGACATAGTTTTAGGCTGGTTGTCAATGACCTAACACAACCCTCAATCTTTTTCATCCGAACTAGAGACCGACATTGGCGGTGTTTGCTAAAACATCACGCTATACATAAAAATAATATACAAGACCTGGCCACATCTGATAGTCACAGAATGACAATGACTAAAGAGCAAGCAGTGTCTAATCTTGTAACTTTATAAATTTTGTCTAAGTGGATCTGTTATCACAGTAGCATGAATGCATGCTCGATGCACAAGTACAAACAGCTGTAAGGAAATGATTACCCGTGCAGGATCTTTAATGCTGCCCCGCCCCCTAATTAGAACACGACAACCAGTATTTGCTTCAACTCGCTTGAGAGAGTTTCCTCTAGGACCAAGGAGCCGACCAACAAAGTTGTACTGCTCAACCATTAAAAAACAAATCTCATGTAATATGCATTTTTGATATACAGTTGAGAAGAAAGAAGCTGTGGCATACATTAGGGTATTGGTCAACTGGAATATCCACTCTAATAGTTCTCTTCACAACAAGACCAGAGGAGCTGCCTTGTGGCCCAACCCACCCATTCCCTGACGAAGGCTGTAATATACCCAATCTCTGCAGGATACAAGCAAAAACCATCACAAATGAAATCCATCGACTCACAACAAAAGCTAAGGACAACACATTTAGTTATATGAGGCCATGGAACATACATTAACTTCATAAAGTAAGAAAATAGTAAACAACAAAAAATGCCAAAATTTTTTTGACTATGAAAGTAACAGTGGGTCATTTGACAGACAATGGTGACATCCCAAGTTCACATGAAAACAAATAAAAATGATGTATCTTTTTCATAATATCTTCCAGATGCAGAAACCTAAAGCTGGAAAACCAAGGTAAGTTACTAAAACAAACAACAAATGCAAATACTTGGTTGGTTAATGCAAATAAGGAGACAATCAACCTGATTTTATAATAGATCAATGAAAAAGAGAGAAATATATTTATTTTCTGTACTCCATAATCATATGTAGCCTAGCATTTCTACACAATTGGGTAATTGAGTCAAACAAAATGAGCTTAAAAGAGGGTGGGACCCAGAATGCTTCAGTGACCTTAACCACTCACCAATCCACATTTTGTCAGAATCGGATACTTCAAATTGATCAATAATACTACAAAGGAGGCTAAGGTTCTGGACAACTAGGTTAAACTTAAGATGGATGCACATAACTATGTCGAGAATGCAAAAGTACAGACACCACGTCTACGGTTACATTAATAGCAAACAGTACACAAAGAATGGATGATCTGGATCAGGGCAGAAAATTTGTGTTAGCTTTCCACATCACCAAAATATGTAAGTTGCACATTACACAAGCAGCATACCAGATAAAAAAAGAAGAGTCATGTTAATGGTTAGTATCCGTACTTCAGATTGGAACGCTGATGCCCAGCCATTCATATCAGTAGTGCTTCCATTTGGAAATAATCCTCCACTGATTAGTGGGCTACCATGTTCAAGCCCAGTTTGATCTAAAAGAGAAGCATTCTCCAACAGCGTGGTTAAATGTAAAATTTCTGCTCCAAAATTTCAATTTAAAAAATTACCAGTTAGCTTTTGTAAACTAAATTAGTCAGCAGTAAATGGACAAGCATGGGTGAAATGATCAGGCAATCAGAACCATACCAATCCAAATGTCAAAGTTTGCAATATAAAACTATCACCAAGTATGAAAACAAGAAAAACAAGAATTAGCTTAAGCTAGTCCAATAAGAAACTAGTTAAGAGATATATTATCTGCAGAGAAAACAGAGCACATTAGATGTATGGCTTTCATTACTTCCAAAATAACGATCAACTCATCTTGTAACTCTGAAGTACAGAACTAGATAGTCATGTTATAGACCATTTTTATAAGTCTAATACCTGTTTGTGTTAGTAGCCCAAAATTTTCCCACATTGGATAATTGATGCAATGATAAGTGTGTTTGGTAGCTTGCATATTCCCAAAAACATACATTTACTTTTGTAATCTGCATGTAAATCACTCACTTTGTCGTTCAACCAAGTTAGCCACATGAATAAATGCATGCCTGCAAACGAATCTTGGGGCTCCATCTATATTTACTTTCTGCATCATCACTCCAAACATCTCAAGATACTCGGTTGCATTCTCAAACAACATTTGCTAATACAAGTTGCCAACAATATCACCTTGCATTTTCAAAATGCATGCATTAGCTAATGCAATGCAAAGCATCCACAAGCCTATGATACGAAACACCCAGTTACTGTTGTCATAGTGATAGACAGAACAGGGATCACACAGTACCCTTTTTGTCTGTAATGCATGCACATGCACCCGAAACTCAGTAACTCACCACATAAATCAAAACTCATCACTAGACACGCATGCAGTATTTTCATGCTGAAACTATTCATTCCATATGAATTGAAAAGCTCAATGAATCAATGTCCAGTGATGCGTCAAATCAAAGTTTGGTTTTAGATGGTCTAGAAACCAGATTTTCAAAATAGGTCCTTTAGATTGTTCTATCAGAAGAGATAAATACAATTTCTAGAGATAAGTGCAGTTATCAACATTTCTAGACAACAACAAAAGACCATATTTTTTACATCAGTCCAGCTAGTACTGTTGTAGATCAAGGAATAATTTGTCAAAATATAATTCATACTAGAAGGGTAGTTTCTGTACATGTTTAATAGGAAACAGTTTTCCAGTAGGATAATCAGATACACAATTATTTTCACAATAAAGCGTTCTTCAATTGCTTCACATAGACAAAAAAAAATCTTCTTCTTTTTTTGGTCAGCTTCCTGGAACAGTATATATATATATATATATATATACCATGTTTATTGCCTTTTTATGGAACATCACAAACTTTTGGGAAAGATATTTATGAGATATAATGCCGAAGGACGTTAAGTTTTATATCCAATCAATAACTTATTAATTCTATTGCCTTCTATTTCTTGCTAAGATCTTTTTTAAAAGCAGAAGTACATCAAATAGTTCCCTATTTGAACATATGACGGTGTGACGATAGGATATACATTTATACATAGATATTCCAAACATTTGATCCTTCCATTCATTATGCCAAGTATTTCTTAAAAAGCAACTGAAATGATCAACAATGTCAGCTAGGACACTAAGAAACTAGGCAGATAGTCATGCTACTTGCATCTCACTGAAAAATATTATCAAGCTCTCGTCTTATGAATGACATTTGCACATCCCAGATCTTTCATCAGGAGAGGAGCAGTTGATGGGGTCAAACAGGTTTGTCATTTACCAAGGTTAACGTGGGGATGCTGAAGATAACATACAAAATTGAGAAGCAAACACAGGAATGAGGAAGCATAGTAAACGGTTTATATGGCATGAAATTATTCGAACCGACAGAAGTAGTGGATTTTAGACCATCGTAAAGCAAGTTCGGAAAAAAATTGATTTCCATAAGAAACAGAAACTCACCCTGATTAAGCAAGCGATAGCTGTGAGGCAGCACCAGCATAAACGGGCTCAGCTTCTGACGCTCTGTTAGCAACTCCGCTAGGTACCTGGCAAGTACTGCTCATTTAAGCGCTTTTCACAGGAAGTATGCTAAACAACTAACCACGCTCGTGAAATCAAAAGCACCAGATTCCAGCCAACTAACAGAGACGAAGAATACAAATTTTCTCAGCTTAAAGTTCACATCCAAAATAAGTAGATCTTCCATATAACCCAATACAAGTTGCAAAAGTAACTCTAAAAATGAAGCCTTGCATCGATTGAATGTCCCAAAGCTCATTCACACGCAAAAACGAAAAGGAAAAACTCTTTCTACAAAACATTCTTGGATCATACCACCAACAGCCCGCTCGATAGAAGCATCAAAAGCTCAAACAACAACAGAGAGATCTTTCTATTAGGACAAGCTTCCCTAAAGCCACAGCAAGATCAAGTCTTTAAAAGCTCCGAGCGATCCAGAAAGGACCAGATAAGAGAAACATAGCTGACTCTACTAGATGAAACCAAAGAAATCAAAACAAGCGAAAGAAATCGATCGCGAAGCAGAAAGATCACTTTTTTTTTTTTCTTTCTTCCGAACGAGAAGGATATCAGGAAGAGCGGAATCCTACTTCTCCTGCTCGACGAGGGCACTACTGGCCGACCGCATGCCGGAGATGTGAGGGGACTGCGGTGCGGTGGAGGGGGACGGCGAATAGGCCATGTATCTGCCGGAAGCCATGGTTCCGGCCAGATCGGAGGCGGATTCCAGCAGAGCACAGCGATCGGGCGGCGAATTCCGCCGAGATCGCGATGCCGACGCCCTAAAGGAGCCGCCTTTCTTACACTGGACGCGGTGGAAGAGGGACGAAGCGGTGGAAAAGAGGAACAAGCGAGCATTTATAGCGAACGACAAGAGACTCCACAGGAAAACTCCGTCGACTCGTCACTGTGACAGCCAAAAATGGGATTTTGTTTTCCATTTTTATAAACATCAAAATCATAATTATTTTATCAAATTTAATGTGTTAAAGTTTATAAATATTAAATTCGATCATCAATCAATCCAATACGTATAAATTGACTCTCATAACATCCATCGGTGAAAATATTTTCCATGGAGTTCAACTTTTTTTTACGTAATCAAGTTATTTTCGTAGCTATTTTTCTTTCATTTCTAACTAAATCACTGCCCAAAATTATCATCGACAGTCTCCATAGTTCAACTCAGCAGAAAGCCAGATAGGAAGAAAACCTTACAGAAAAGGCTGTAAATACATGTAATTTACGAAAATTAAGATATATATATATATATATATATATATATATATATATATAATGCTTATATATTTATCTAACTGAAGCATTATTTGTTTTTGTTTGTTGTGATTACTTACCGGTGTGCGGTGAACTCGATCCTAAGAGTCAAGTCAGGAGCAGTTGAGAACATACATGCTTGATTCGATCCAATTCAACGGTTCCGCGACGCACGGCGAACCGGGTTCGCGTCAAGATTCCCGCTCGATGAGATCCTCGATGTTCTTGTGGTGTCGCGGTCCCCATGCTAGTTTGACTGGTGGGCCCCCCCAGGAGTCCCAGAATCATTCATCTCTCTCTCCCACAGCCGCCACCACCGACGCGCGCGCGCTCTCGCTCTCGCTCTCGCTCTCTCTGCTGCTGCTCCCGTCTGCGATCCCAGTCCCTTCCTTTCGACAGACCAGAAGCGTTCAGCGAAGGGCTAAACGAGACGGTCATCAGCTCGATCGAGCAGGTCCCTGCACCCTCCCCTGATTCGCTTTCATGCTGCCTTTTAGAATTCCGTTCCAAGATCCATTCCTTTCTCCTTTTGGTCGTGTTTTCTCTTCGAATCTTGGGGTTTTACGGATTCTGAGATTCGTTGGGTCGATTCGGATGAGAAGATGAGAGCGTCCTCGTTTCTGTTAGTCACTCTTTTGATCGTGTCCTCTTCTCGTTAATTTCTTTGATCGCACATCTCCGTCAACAACTATTATCCAATAAAAAAAGCAGAGAGAAAAAAAAAATACATATAAAAAACCTCCTAGCTTTCTATCTATTGGTCCACTGCCTGCACAAAAAGGGTCCAAATGCCATCTCGAATTAGTACGTGGAGGACAAAATGATATATAACTGGAGCTAAGAGCCAAAAAGGCTCGACCTTTCCCCTTTCTCTGCGGTTGCCTTTCTCCTCCTTTCCAAGATCGCTTTTCCACTAGAAAGGAGGATGTTTTCTGGCTTGATTCACCGACCGGAAGCTTCGATTCCACCGGAGGATGCACACGGCCCCAGCCTGGTACTCACGGCGGACCCCAAGCCGCGCCTCCGATGGACGGCCGACCTCCATGAGCGCTTCGTCGACGCCGTCGCCCAGCTCGGGGGCCCCGAAAGTTCGTACCTTTTTGCCTTTAGTCCCAAGTATTCGATGATTTTCCACCATTAATGGCCGAAAGGTGTGGTGGCTTCCGACGATCTATGGTTTGGTGGCCTACTGTTTTCCTCTTAGATTGGCAACCAAGTTTGCGTCTTTTTGTCTTTAGTCTGTAGAACTCGTTGACACTGTCCCATGAATGACGGGTTGGCGCGGCCGCTCTTGCTTTCCTTCTAGATCCCGTTACGAGTTCTTTGATATTGTTGCTTGTTCGTCCTTCTCAAGTATGATGCCTCCCGAATCCGCTCCAAAATTTGTCTCTTAAGAGGGATCACTCAACTCAAATGGCAGGTAGGCCATTGCTTTATGTTGCAACGAGTTTTGAACTCTTGACACCCTTGTATAATTCCAGAAAATGGAAGTTATCAGAATTGAGAAGTTTGATTTGTTTACGCAGACAAATTAAATAGATCCTGCAATTTGTTTTATATGAACAACTCATGCCACAGAAAACGAGATCAAAGATGCCCTAGAAATGATGAATCTGATAATGTTGTAGGCCCAAATATCGTCCCTGTTTATATATGGCAGATCTACTATGTAAAATACGCAAATGCTACAACAACAAAGTCCCAACTATTTCGGGTAGGCTATAAAGATCTTTTGCTGCCATTGAGATCCATAAAATATACAAATCATTATTGGATTTAAACTTATTATCTAAGAAGTATAAAATTAGAATAGATTGGTTAAACTAACATATGAAGAGCAATATATTAAATGAATATTTTGGAAAACAGTTCTTTGCTTTATGCCAAAGATCAATCATGTGTAGTATTTATGTACTAATATAAGTTGCATGTGATTGATTTCGAGAAGAGAGAGGATGCATATTTTGTATATCGATACTGGGCAGTTAGTAGACTATAGACTGCATAAGAGTGATATAACTGAGTTTCTTATCTCATTAGTTCTCACTTTTGTTGGCCCTAATTCACTGCATAATGAGAATAAAGAGAACTTGGGTCTGTTACTGTACCATTCTCTGTTTATGATGGTCAAAATATTTGTTCTGAGGTTTGTTTGCTTACAGAACTGTTCTGTACATGATTTCTCATGTAAATGAACTTCAATTACGAAAATTTAGTTTCTGTTTTCTGCTATAATGTAGTTATTGAGTATATTATGTTTTTCTTTTTATTTAGGCATTCATTTTTATGGTCGGTCTCTTTGTAGATAGATACACATTCTTTACAACATTACTTACCAATGCTATCACAGGAGTATAGGATATACAGAACCCTAAATACCTCACCTAGTTCTGTCATATTTTAGAAATTTGTCAAGGTTGTAAAATGTTGGTTCTAATTTACCATTTGACTGTAACATGATTATGACAGAGGCAACGCCAAAGGCTATCATGCGGACAATGGGTGTTAAAGGACTCACTCTTTTTCACCTCAAGAGTCATCTTCAGGTACTGATAGACATGTCAAAATTAATTCATTTCATGAAGTTCCATGTAGCCCTTTTTGTTGCTAAACTCTTAATTGTTTTCTCCAGAGTAACTTGTTTCATGTTAATGTTTCCAGAAATACAGACTAGGAAAGCAATCAGGTAAAGAAATGACTGAGCAGTCAAAGGATGGTGAGTCCATAAGTTTATCTTCTTTTCTCTTATCTATGTTGAAATTCTCTTATTGTTCATTACCTGCGCTTTCAAAAGGTTCCAAATAATTCAACAAATGATTTTGTTAGATATAGACATTCGGATTTCCTGTCTTCACTATGTAGATGCTATATTGGTTGGAGTTTGTCTCAGTTCAAGCTTAATTAGCTGGTTTATTTAAGACTCAATCACTCTCTTGAATTCCCTATTAAAGCCTCGATGCTGTTAACAAATCTTGCCACACATTTACTTCAAAAAGGTTTCTCGTGAGCTGCCACATGAGACTACAACACGGCTGATTGAATCTCAAAGTGAATGCAAAGACAAATTCCTGAATGAGGTTACTTTTGTACCACCCATCCTCAAAGTAGTATCTGGAATATCCAATTTTTACACGAGAAAATTGGTGGACTCAATTATATGGAGCACAAATTTCTATCATTCAGTATAAATGATCTAGCAAAAGCCTGATTTGTTTTTACATATATACATTTATTTCATTATTCTTTCCACTAATCATTTAATTTTACTAGAACCTTATCTGACATTGTCTTTAATTCTTTCAATCCAAATCTCAGCTTCCTACCTTTTAGAGAATCCAGGCAGCAGTTCTTTGTCTCCAAGAGTGCCTACTCCTGATGTGAATGAGTAAGATAGCAGTATCATGTCTTCCTAAGTTTGAGTTGTTTTTCATCGATTAATAATTCAAAATATTGTATGGTGCATGGCTCCGGTGTCGGAAAACACTAACGTGGTTTGTGCTCTTGCTTTTAGGGGTCAGGAAGTCAAAGAGGCACTTCGAGCACAGATGGAAGTGCAAAGAAGACTCTATGAACAAGTGGAGGTAATCTAGTTCTCTTTACTTTCATTTTGGTTCTTCAACATTTTCTTTTTATGGCATAATGTAACAATTAGGCATCTTCTGGTCCAACATTATTAAATTGGGCCTTTAGTCTTTACAAATATTGCTAAGCAACATCAGGTTATAACAAATTTTCCTACTTTCTATTTTATGTGATCATAGGATACATATATACACATTTTATATGCTTGTATAAACACAAACATGCTTATATACACATATTATATATAGATATATATATATATATATATATATATATATATATATATATATATATATATACATGGACATGTATATCTATATATGTATGTCATAAACATATGCATATGCAGGAAGGTGCTTAGTATTTTGGAATGCTTTTGTCCATCTTTATTCTTTGGCTGTGATTATACAACTTATAGATCTATTAGTTTCTCTAATGAGTCTACCCTGTCTTGCTTGAGGTAAGTTTACATTTAATTAGTACCTAGGACTAGTAATTTGTAAGAATCCATCCATCTGCTGCTCAAGCGAAACATAATCAACCTTGAGTGGACATTGGACTTAAAAAACAACTATAATCATGGATCTGCTTGTTTTGTCTATCTCAACCAGTATCCCTGCCAATTGAGTACTTGATTCTACTATCATCCTAATTGTTGAACGCATCTATTTGATCAGGTTCAGAAGCATGTGCAGATTCGAATGGGTGCTTACCAGAAGTATATTGACTCCTTATTAGCAAGGGCATGCAAGATAGCCTCAGAGCAAATTGCTTTAAATAGTTTTGGCACGGCCGAGCATGAACTTCCAGACATGACACCCAGAGTTGTTTGCCCCCCTTCTAGTCCGCTGAGTCCATCCATCCTCCATCAGTTATCAGTGAGCTCGATCAACTTGCAGAGCCCTGGTTGCAAGACTTCTCCATCATCATCAGCGATCGAAGGTCAGCTCTTTTGTCAGAAGCCACCTGAGCTAAAGAACAAACCTTGCTGAAGGACTGTTAAAATTCGTTACTTGCTAGCAAACCTTGCCGACCAAGAAGTTCCATGTAACTTGGGAACTGAAAACTAGCTTGATTACTGGAATCATGGAAAGTGATACCTCCTTGTAAGCTGATTGTGACAACCACTGCTGCTCCTCCAAAATTGTTGTGTAATGGTTTTTGGTTTGCTTATCGACTACTGTGCCTCCATGAAAGGAAGTTGCTTGATAATTGATGTTCTTTATCTGATTAGATTGTTGAGGGACTTAAAAAAGGATTGGAATGCCCTCAACTCTCTATAACTTCATAATAGCTATTTTCTTATCGATCCTCAGTTCGATTAGTGCTTATGAGTTTTTTTTTTTTGAAGTATTCTTAACTTTTTATTTATTAATCAAAGTTATTTGAATTTTCTTTAAGGGCATTTATTTTTTATTTTAAAAAAATGAAGAGTCTATTATATTTGTTATTCTCTCATCCTTTCCACGTGTCTATTCTAATTTTTGACCTTCTTCTTTTTCAATACATTATAAATTTTTTATATAATATATTCTTATTTTTATTTTTGACACAACATATCATTATTTAAAAAACAAGAAATTAACAAATCATTTCATCAATTTCTGATCTGATTCCGATAGTTATGATAGTAAGCACTGCAGAGCATATTCCAGTTCCCAAACTTCTAATGATTTCTAACATAGATATGATTAGAAAAAGAATATAATAAACTATCATATAAGGAAAAATATTAATCTCTAATGATCATGGCATTAACATGTCACAATCTAATTATGTAGCAAAACATTAGTTAGTTCGATGAGTGGAGATGAAGTTGCCTCCCATTCTACATCGTGCCTTAGAAATAGATTAAGCTGTTAATTACTAATCGTGTACATAATGTATATAATTGAATCTGACCGCATACGGCTCATCGAGGGGAACAATTGGAACCGGGAGGTGACCAGACCGCGAAGCGTGCGCCTAAAAGCGAAATCTCTTTCGCCTTTACCTTCCCTCCTCTCCCGATCTCGACTGCGATCCGGCAGTCCAGCGCGTCGTCGATCAGATTCTTCCAACCCGTAAGCAAAATCGCCTCCTTTTTCTCCTCAATCGCAGCTTAGATGTTCTCCAATGCCAGCTCTTAAGCATCCATCTTCTCCCCTTGTCTTAAAGAATTGTCTTGTTTTGATGGTTACACAAGCCTAGAAATAGAGCCTATCTGAATTTGTTGGAAATATTGGGTTTTTCGTGTGGGTATTGTTTAGATCTCGTCGATCTGTCACGAATTAGCTCGTCGTCTCGCAATCTCTTGGAGTCGAATGGACTTCAGCGAGTGATTTGGTTAATTTTGATATCTAGAAGAAGGGTCTGTTGTATTTCTGCTCATTTTAGAGTTGTAGGCTTTGTTTTATTTAGTCCTTGGAACCAAAGTTTCGGTTTTTATTTCGACGGATCATATCTGAAAGCGGAAAGCTGATTCAGATTTGATGGGTCACGATTTGGGTACCGTGTATCACCTGGACAAAATACATCAGTTGATGTTAATAATAGTAAACTTCTCAGACCCTTGTAAGCCGATCTACAGGTAGCTGAAGTTGATAGTAACACTCGTGCAAACCCTTGTAAGTCAATCTTAATATTAGCTACCGATACGAAATTAATCAGGTCCAGTAATGCAGATATAGTTCCAATAGTTTCGCTCCTCACTAGACATCCACATGAACAATGGAAAGGATAGAGAGAAAGCAAGATGTGATTTTGGTTGGAAGGTGAAAATAATTACTGTGATAATTATAGACATTAGGGAAATATAAGGAAAATGATTGTTAGTATGAGTTGGTAAAACTATTGAACAATAGAAAGGACTAATTCGTACAGGATGATGGTAATAAAGTTAGGAAATGAGGAATCAAGTAAAGTATTGAGGTGGATCGGTCGATGATCTTGATAAAGTATGTGAAGTTGATGACAGTCCCAATATTTTTGAAACATCATCATCTTAAGAACACATGCGGTGCACATCATATCATTATATGTTTCTGTATGTGCTACATTTGTGTGATTAACTCTTAACAATATTTTGGGCTTTACATCTTAAAAGTCTTGATCATGCAAAAATAACTTTTCTATATTGGTCATTGTCATAAATCTGTTGACGGTAGTTATATCCTTTTTTTGTGTATGTCTGAGAGCTTTAATTTCCAGGATGTTTCTGTATGTTTGTACTTTGTGTCTTTACTGATGTGCTCGTGTGTGCCAGAAACACCAACTGCTACATAATTTATGCAAGAAGCTATTTATCTTCACTAAAGCTTCTAAGTTGGTTAGTTGGCAGGTGTCCTGCCATCAAGATTGTATTTTGACTTAAGGAACTTATAATATTACTGGTCATTGATTTTTATGATCCTGCTAGCTCTTTCTGTCATGAAGCTTTATAGAACTAAAGAGATGCCTTGCAATGATTTGAAAAGTAACTATTTGACCACTTATATTTGGAAACCACTAGTCTGGATATCTGTTGTCCACTTGTCTCTTATCTAAATTTCTGCAACTTACTGCATAGGTTAAGGGGTGATCAATTTCAGGGATTTTCTTGTGATTGAGTTGGCTTATCAGTGTCCTCAGCTGTTGCCTTTTATGTTCTGCAAATTATGCTCCTAAAGATTTAGATTATTTTTCCTTTTATCTAAGGAAAAGTTTTTTGTTTATTTGTAGAGATATTCCGCAGTCTGATGTCTTTTTTGAAAATTCAGGAGGCACTATGGCTAGCAAACGGATTCAGAAGGAACTAATGGATTTGCAGAGGGATCCTCCAACATCATGCAGTGCTGGACCTGTTGGTGAAGATCTGTTCCATTGGCAGGCAACAATCATGGGTCCCTCAGATAGTCCTTATGCTGGCGGGGTGTTCTTTGTTAAGATACATTTTCCACCTGACTATCCATTTAAGCCTCCGAAAGTCAATTTCCAGACAAAGGTGAGCAGAAACCAGTAATATGTATATATATTTTTTGATTTGCAGAATTTGTGCTTTATGATCTGACTATAAAGGTATTATGATTCTACTAATTGCTAATTGTTGTTATCAACATAACTATTTGACCCAAGTAATTGAGATTGCTATACTTTGGATTATTTTGATATTCATTTTACATACTCAAGTTCCCTGACAAATCCTTATGGCTATGGAAAATGGAAACTAAAATCAGTATCTTTATGTTATACTATTTAATAAACTGACACTGACATTAATCCATCTGTATGTGGAGAACAAGCATCTTTTATGAGTAGGTGATAGAAGCCTGAAGGGTAATTTTGAAATTCTACTATCTGTTAGTTTGAACTGTTATGACATGTTAACTAATTGCTGGGGGAATATCCAGTCTGTCATATCAATCCAAGAAACACTGCTGATTTGCTGGCTATGGTGCCAAGAAACTTGCAGTAATCATTGTGGGTTTCCGAATTATGCTCATGCTTTGCATTTCTTAGTGATCTCACTTCACTTACTGTGAACATTTTGAAGTGTCCTGCACTTTGTGCCACTGAATAATTTGAAGATCTTATATATATATATATATATATATATATATAGTTGTAGGTGCTTAGAGGAATAGTTTATATTCCTATTTGAAGGATTGTTCATTAGATTATTTTGTTAATTACATGGACATAGTATCTTGTCAAGTCTTATTTCTAGAATATGCAACATTAAGCTAGATTTAAATAAAATGAGTTTGCTCATGCAAAAGGGTCCTTTACCGTTTACTGATGTCAACTGATGCAGGTTTATCACCCAAACATCAACTCGAACGGAAGCATCTGTCTTGACATCCTCAAGGAGCAGTGGAGCCCAGCGCTGACATTATCGAAGGTCCTCCTCTCCATCTGCTCCCTTCTCACAGACCCCAATCCTGATGATCCTCTCGTCCCTGAGATTGCTCACATGTATAAGACACAGAGTTCTCGCTATGAGGAGACGGCTAGGGCATGGACCCAGAAGTATGCCATGGGCTAATCTGACCAACTCAAGTCCAAACCATGTGGAATGTCTTTGTGAGAACCATGAAGATCAAATCTTCTGTTTCATGTTGTGTGAGGGGACTGTTCTAAAACATCAAACCTGAGTTCATGGCATGGCATGATGTGAATGTACAAAATCCAAAATGGGATGTCGAATGTGTTTGTGATAACTAAGAAGATGAAATCTTCTGTTTCATGATGTACAGAGAGGATTGTTCTGAAACATCAACCTGAGCAAGCTCATGGCATGCTCTGGATGTATATTAGTTTGGAATTGGAATACTCGGATGCAGGTTTTTCTCTTGATAGATGTTGCATCGGCACCTCAATGTGAACAGTGCTTTAAATCATCCTTGTAACTTCTTATAATTGCTTTTATCGGAACGTGTAAAATATAAAACATAAGATTATAACTGCATAATTTTAATTTTTGTTGCAAAGATATAAGGGAATAATTCGTAGAATTGGCAGTAGAAGAACTGTAGCATGACACCAAAATCATCGCTGTTGACATAAATGAACAGCTTGGGAGTTTTTATGCGTCAAGGAAATGTAATACCAACATCAAAAGTAGAAAGTATTAGTTATCATAATGACCATGTATTATATGAGAAAATTCTAGATATTAGAGAACCAAACAAGAAAAATTATAGGTAAACTCAAAAGGAGGGGTAGTAAAAGAAAGAACCCTTTGGAACGAGCAAAAAAATTTTAACCTCAAATTATTATTATTATTTTCTCACACTTCACTACATCAAACTAATTTCCTTTTACATATGTCACAAAGATTTCTGACCTTGGATGTACGATAGGATGCTTACACTTGCTTCTGTAGCTAGTCTTAGGATTCGCATATTGACAAATGATCAATGATGCAAATCCATTTCGAATCCCCCAAGTTTCCCAATATCACAAAGAAATGACATGGAAATCCATCAACTAATAGAATACAGGTGTAATCACTCATCAGAACAAGATTCTGGCATTGTAACAAGTCATTCACATGTTAGAATTGCATAAATTAAAAAGGCCTACAAAGCAAAACAAACATGGGAAATAGACAAGGTGGTGTGTATCCATAGAGGGAGTGGTGATTTAATTTATCCGTCATAAAAGATCCTACTAATGATTTTAAGTAGAAACCTCTGCAAGGAAAAAAAATAAAAATAACAAGTACACAATATGGATTATATGCCACAATTACAAGCCGAAAGAATGGACAAACATTGAGGTTAGAAAGTACTTGGCTTTTTCCCTGAGGCACAAGTAATTGCACAGTGGTGATGAAAAAAAGAGATGGCCATGAATAGCAATGAAGAATGGTCAGCATGCCTAACTCACACAAGGTCTCGTGTCCATTCCATGTGCTTAATAATTAGTGTTCACAGCACTTGCTGCTCCAATGCCACCTTTGTGACTTGTGAAACCCTAATGCTCCGACGATTGCTCTCGACTAAATCAAGTAATCTCAAGAAGGCCTTTAGCTGCTTCTCCAACCCATTAATCTTCACAAGCAAATCATGCATGCACATGAAGTTCAAAAAAACACCACCAGTCTAGCCATCAGGAGGAGAAGACCTCGGATATGCTACACAAGGAAGACTTTCCTCGCCAATTGGAGATCGTAAAAGAGGGTTGCAACGGTCAAAGATTATCCGCCCTCCTCGTCCAATCCTGCCATGGAAGCGGTATGTTGATGCTACGGAGCCATTCTCGGCAGGTGGACAAGGCGGTTGCATAATGCCTACAGCAGCAAGCTTGTCTGGATCCAGAGGTCTCGTAAATAGCAATATAGGCTCATCAGGATCCTGCATCAAATGTGATTATTTAATCTTCAGATGATAGTTCTGCAATTTCTGCCACTATCAAATTGTACAACACATTTTTAAGGCCTTAGTGCACCTTCACTTTAGCTAGATTAGCATCTTTAGGTTACATTTGAGACTAAGAACCAATACTCAAGAAAAATTGTACAACACATTACTTAGGGCCTAGTGCAACTTCCTTTTAACTAGACCAGCATCTTTAATTTACATTTGAAACTTGGTCTGGCAAAAGAATGCATACCCTCTTCTGTAGCCACCCGTTTGAAGCCGATCTCTGTTTCAGTTCACGCTTCATTTGACCTGTAGGGACCATTGCAAACTTAGAGTCCGCATATTTTGGATGGGCAGATGCAGGCCTGGCATACGGATGACCATTTGTTGTATCATCCGAGTCCATATAGTCATCATCACTTGAGGCCAGCTTGCATGAAGCTCGTTGCAAGCTTGGGAACACCATTCGATCTTCGATAAGCTGTGCCTCATGCTAAGAATAGTTTCAAGTTACTAATCATCAAATTATTTAGAACAGGGAAGAAGATGTACATAACAGAAAAAACTAGGTATTACCCTAACAAATCATCAGTTCCTTTCTTCACCATTAAATGGTTTCTTCCCTTCTTTTATTGGTGATTCTTTTTATTCCTCAATTTCAAGAACTAGAATAATAAAAAAAACCTACTCATTACAATCATGCAAGCCTAGAAGACTGTAATACTTCAAAAAGATACATGAGACGAATATGAAACATCCAATAAAAACCTTTGGATTTACCAAGTGAAACATTTCTATTTAAGACCAAGTAAACATTTTCTGATGCTATATTTAATTGTTTATAAATTGCCGTGGTTCATCTTTACACCATCTCAGACTTGACCCTAATACTACAATTTGCATAATCAGCTTTTCCATCATCATCTAGCACAACATAATCAATGATACACTCATTGATTTCAAAGATAACATACAAGAACAGCAACTACCAGTTATATAGACCTTTTGCCACCATTAAACCTTATAAAAAGTCATATCCTTAGTTAGATTACAAGTATTGGTATCCTTATTTATAGTTTTCAGTAAAGGTTTTTCACATATCCCTCTACCTCCCTTCGTGTCGTGCCACTATCAAGAATTGTCTCAACTCTTCCGATTGTAGCATCCTTAACACGTGTCTATACCATCTTAAATGATTCTTCGTCATTTTATCTTTTATTGAATCTACACTTAATTATTCATGAATGAAAATATTTCATTTCCAATCTTTCTAGGTAACTCCACATAATTATACAATAGACTATTTCACTAGAAAAACCTCTAGAGTGAGAAGCTCTTGTTCTAGAGCGAGAAACCCTAGCATCGATGATGGGTTCCTTAGAAGCTCTGCTTCCACCTCCTCCTCTGGAAACACCCCTTCCCCCAATGTTCCATTGGATTTGGCCCCGAACGTTGGCTAGCCAATGGCCAATACCTCTGTTACCATTGTGTCTACAACGGAGGGGGTGTTGAAGCCCCCGATTCCACCCCAATTACAACAACCCCTTCCTCCTGAGCTAATATTTTCATGAAAGCGAAAGGCATGGGTGAAGACTGAACTCCCATCTTGAGGAGAAACTATGCCGAATCGAGAACCAAGTTGCTCTACGAGGGGACCTTGATCCAAAGGAGGTGTACTCGACTTATGAAGAGTGGCAAACGAGCCTCTACTATAAGTTTCTTACTAAGATTCCTTCCCTTGAGCTTTTGAAGTCTACATTGCTAAAACTATGGAGCTTGCCGACGGGACGCAACACTGTGGACAAGGCCAAAGGATTATTTTGTTTCCAATTCCATTCTGTCAAGGAAATGAATAGGGTTCTCCTGGGTGGACCTTGGTTCTTGTGATGGCAGCTCTTAACCTTAATACCATGGAAACTAAATTTCTAGCCATTACTAGAAAAAATAGATACCATACCCACCTAGATTCAACTGCCTGGACTTCCCCTAGAATTGTTGCAACCCAATTTCTTAGGGCAAATTGCATCCAAAGTTGGGAGGTTACTTTAGGTAGATCATGTTACTCTATCCCGATCAAGGGACAAGTTTGCCCAACGTGTGTGCTTCTAAACCTCTCCCTACTGGTCCCGCAAGGTCTTTAGATCCAAGTGGGTGATTCCCAATTCTTTCAAACCATTGCACATGAGAATCTACCAAATATTTGTTTCAAATGTGGAAAAGTTGGCCATAGAATGTCCTATTGTGAAGCTTACTTTGTTTCACCCAATTCTCCCACATCAACTACAGTGGAAACGCCGAAAGAAAACCCAAGGCGAGAGGGAGAAGATGAGATATTGTATGGGCCGTGGGTTCGGGTCCAAAGGCGAGCCAAGTCCAAAACAACCAAAATAGATGTGGTTAGTCAAGTGAAGGGGAAAGGTGCGGCTCGAAGGATTGTTGGACCAGACTTAGGACAGGGAACTGATCCACATAGATTGATTCAACCGAGGACCTCGAGCCCTATGACATAGTTGAACCGTGGGTCAAGGTCCTATTTGGGTGTGGTCTCAACAACCACGATTGTACCTCCCCTATAGGGAGTCATCAATGCTAATAGTATAGTTTTCTCAACAGCTAGGCCAGCGCCTTGCCCCTGTTGTTACCGGGACTTGCCCGAGGTAGAATTTGTTTCAAGGAGGCACCATGGAAGAAACCAAAGGCAAGGGTCAAGCTCCCTAGGGTGGATGTGATCGATGACGTTGACTCTGCAAAGACTGTTGATTAGGATTGGGCGCTAGGTGTCTTTCCATCAGTTGCATCCCAGCATTCCGTCGAGAGGCAGGTGACCCCGTGGGGTGCGAGGGGCCTGCTCTTGGATGACTTTCTCTCTCCAACCCATTTGTTGTGCTTGGTGCCTCAAAAGAGGAGGATCTCGAGGCTATAAACCCTAGGGGACAAGGTTCTTCCTTTGTCTTCAAGGCCGACAAACACCAAGAGCGAACTTGATGGAAAGCCTAGGAAATTTGGAAAGGCAGGGTATATGTCCTACGATGGGCTCGTGGACAAGGTGGTGAAGGCATTCCAGGAGGCTACAATGCTAGCCGATGCTCTGGAGGAGTGTTTCCTCATTGACGAAGCAAACTTGGAGTGGATCAGGACGAATAGTGAGGAGGGACTCAAGACCAGACGAACTCTAGTACAAGGAGGCCTCCAAACTTTCCTTAGTAATCTCAGACATCATAACAAAAAGAAGTGTGAGAATAGAGGGAGGTCGGAGATGGCCAAGGAGGATGGGAGGGACCCTAATGTTTAAATCTAATGAACAACCTTTCGTGGAATTGCAAGGGACTCAAGAAGTAGTGCAGCAAAGAACACCTCTTCTCGCTCTTGAGGAACTTTAATATCTCAATGTTGCTGTTGTTGGAGACTCATCTACAGGTGGATGGGCATGAAAAACTAAAGAAGAAGCTAGGGAAGGCTTGGCACTTGGTAGGGGGACTATTACAAGGCCA